ACCTTTGTTCATTGCTTTGAGAACGCTATCTCTTCCCATAATGCTGGACAACTCTATAGAGGTGAATACATAGAAACATAGAACATAGGAGCAGGAAGAAGCCATTCATCCTTCGAGCTTGCTCCACTATTCATCACAATCATTTCTGATCGTTCAACTCGATAGCTTACACCTGTTTCTGCCCAGAACCTTTGATCCGATTCATCCCAAGTGGTATATCTAGCTACTTCTTGAATAAATTCAATGTTTTGAAATTAAATACTTCCTGTGGTAATGATTTCCACAGGCTCACCACTCTTTGGGTGAAGAAATGCCTCCTCATCTCCGTCCTAAATAGTCTACCGCGAATCCTCCCTGCATCTACTTTGTCTAGTACTATTAGAATTTTATAAGTCTCCATGAGATTGTGCCTCATTCACCTGAACTCCAACGAAAGCAATCAGAACCTAGTCAATCTATTCAATTTTCAAGGAAAACCCTAAAGCTTTCTATCGGTAGGTCAGAAATAAAAGAATGACTAGAGTAAGATTAGGGCCAGTCAAGGACAGTAGTGGGAAGTTGTGAGTGGAGTCCGAAGAGATAGGAGAGGCGCTAAATGCATATTTTTCGTCAGTATTCACACAGGAAAAAGACAATGTTGTGGAGGAGAATACTGAGATACAGGCCATTAGACTAGACGGGATTGAGGTTCATAAGGAGGAGGTGTTAGCAATTCTGGAAGGTGTCAAAATAGATAAGTCCCCTGGGCTGGATGGGATTTATCTTAGGATTCTCTGGGAAGCTAGAGAGGAGATTGCAGAGCCTTTGGCTTTGATCTTTATGTCATCATTGTATACGGGAATAGTGCCAGAAGATTGGAGATGAGCAAATGGTGTCCCCTTGTTCAAGAAGGGGAGTAGAGACAACCCTGGTAATTATAGACCGGTGAGCCTTACTTCGGTTGTGGGTAAGGTGTTGGAAAGGATTATAAGAGATAGGATTTATAATCATCTAGAAAGGAAAAATTTCATTAGGGATAGCCAACACGGTTTTGTGAAGGGTGGGTCGTGCCTCACAAACCTTATTGAGTTCTTTGAGAAGGTGACCAAACAGGTGGATGAGGGAAAAGCAGTTGATGTGGTGTATATGGATTTCAGTAAAGCGTTTGATAAGGTTCCCCATGGTAGTCTATTGCAGAAAATACGGAGGCATGGGATTGAGGGTGATTTAGCGGTTTGGATCAGAAATTGGCAAGCTGTAAGAAGACAGAGGGTGGTGGTTGATGGGAAATGTTCATCCTGGAGTTCAGTTACTCGTGGTGGACCGCAAGGATCTGTTTTGGGGCCACTGCTGTTTGTCATTTTTATAAATGACCTGGATGAGGGCGTAGAAGGATGGGTTAGTAAATTTGTGAATGACACCAAAGTCGGTGGAGTTGTGGATAGTGCAGAAGGATGTTGCAGGTTACAGAGGGACATAGATAAGCTGCAGAGCTGGGCTGAGAGGTGACAAATGGAGTTTAATGCGAAAAAGTGTGAGGTGATTCACTTTGGTAGGAGTAACAGGAATACAGAGTACTGGGCTAATGGTAAGATTCTTGGTCGTGTGGATGAGAAGAGAGGTCTCGGTGTCCATGTGTATAGATCACTGAAAGTTGCCACCCAGGTTGATAGCGTTGTTAAGAAGGCGTACGGTGTGTTAGGTTTTATTGGTAGAGGGATTGAGTTTCGGAGCCATGAGGTCATATTGCAGATGTACAAAACTCTGGTGCGGCCGCACTTGGAGTATTGCGCACAGTTCTGGTCACTGCATTACAGGAAGGATGTGGAAGCATTGGAAAGTGTGCAGAGGAGATTTACCAGGATGTTGCCTGGTATGGAGGGAAGGTCTTATGAGGAAAGGCTGAGGGACTTGAGGCTGTTTTCGTTAGAGAGAAGAAGGTTAAGAGGTGACTTAATAGAGACATACAAGATGGTCAGAGGATTAGATAGGGTGGACAGTGGGAGCCTTTTTCCTCGGATGGTTGGCTGGCACGAGGGGACATAGCTTTAAATTGAGGGATGATAGATATAGGACAGATGTCAGAGGTAAGTTCTTTACTCAGAGAGTAGTAAGGGCGTGGAATGCCCTGCCTGCAAAAGTAGTAGACTCGCCAACTTTAAGGGCATTTAAATGGTCATTGAATAAACATATGGATGATAATGGAATAGTGTAGGTTAGATGGGCTTCAGATTGGTTTCACAGGTCGGCGCAACATCGAGGGCCGAAGGGCCTGTATTGTGCTGTAATGTTCTATGTTCTATGTTCTATCTCTCCTCATATGTCAATCCCGCAATCCCCAGTATCACCCCCAAATGATGTACCTTTGTACAAAAATGAACTCACGAATACAGCAAATAATAAAATTCTGCTGAAAGTAACACACCTTTGAGATATCAAAAGGCTTTGATTTTATCCAGTATCAGCTGGAATGAATATTGGAATAGCCGCAATAACTGTGAGCTGGAACAGCATCGTAAGATCTTAGAAAGATTATGTGTACAGAAGGAGTTCATTCGACCTATTGTATGTGCATTAGCTGTATAATATAGTCTGACTCTATTACCTAGAGGCAATCCTGTCATTTCCCATATCCCTGCATGTCATTGTTAAGCAAATAAAATGCTTAACAATTAAAATGCTCTTTCATGCTTCAACTGGACTTGTCTCCATTCTATTTCCAGGCAATTCATTCCAGACTTTAAATACATACTGTGGTTTTTTTTTCAACACATCATCCTTGCTTCTTTTGCATTTCAGTTTAAGTATAACGCTCCTCGTTTCTTCATTTTTCTCTTTTATGAGTCGGAACAGCTTCTCCCTATCTACTCTGTTCAGGTCCTTTATGATTTCGTAAGTCTCTATCAGGTCTGCCTCTCAGCTTTGTTCTCTCCAATGAAGGCAATGTGGTTATTCACTTTGGAATTGAAAGCAAGAAGGCAGATTACAACTTGAATGGCTATAAATTGAGAGAGGGGAGTATGCAGTGGGACCAGCGTGTCTGTGTGCAACACTCGCTCAAGGTAAGCATGCAGGTGCAGCAAGTGTTAAAGAAGCCAAATGGTTCGTTCATTGTGAGAGATTTCGTGTACAAGAGCAGGGATGTGTTGTTGCTGATATACAGGACCTTGGTGAGGTCACACGTAGAATATTGTGTGCAGTTTTGGTCTCCTTTTCTGAGGAAGGGTGCTTTTGATCTCAAGGGAGTGCAGTGAATGGTTACCAGGTTGATTCCGGGGATGGTGGGACTGACATAAGAGGAGTGATTGATGAAGTTAGGATATGCTTCTCGATGGAGTTCAGACGAATGAGGGGGGAGCTCATAGAGAGTTATAAAATTCTAACAGTACTAGACAGGGTAAATATAGGAAGGTTGCTCCCGATGGTGGGTGTGTCCAGAAACAGGGGTCCCAGTGTGAGGATATGGGGTAGACCATTTATAAAGGAGATGAGGAGAAATTTCTACACCCAAAGAGTGGTGAGCCTGTGGATTCATTAGCACAGGAAATAGTTGATGACAAAACATTGAATGTATTCAAGATGTGGCTAAATATAGCACTTGGGGTGAATGGGGTAAAAGGTTATAGGGAGAAAGCAGGATTAGGCTATTGAATTGGACAATCAGCCATGATTGTGATGAATGGGGGAGCAGGCACAAAGGGCCGAATGGCCTCCTCCTGCTCCTATCTTCTATGTTTCTATGGTCTGAGTGTGGGCAGGAGCAGATGGTAAAGGTCAATGATTGGGAGCTTGTGTGTGTTAGGGAACAAGCAGCAGAGATTTTGATCATGCCTAGTTTGTACTGTGTGGAATGTGTGATGCTGAGCGGCGCAATACTCAAGGCTGGGAAAAGCAATGGAATGGATGAAGGTTTCTGAGATGAGCCTGATATGGGGACAGACTCATGAAATCATGAAGATGAAAATGACAACTCTGACTGATCACCGTAGATTCACCTTCAGCTCAAATAAGAACCATCTGCAAATGATACGTTCTGAACTCATTTATGGGGATGAACATGGAGTGGAAGGACAGTTCCCAGTTCAGCTCTCAGGGACTGTTAGCCCTCACCTTAACTGGAACTGTATCATCCACCCTCTTTTCAATGTCTCACAATCTCACCCCAGCTCAGTGGTTGGCTTTCTGCAGATTGAAGCTAAAACCTAGGGCCTGGCTGAGATGGAGAGGAAGAGACAGCTATGACACAGCAGCAGGAATGGAAGGAATTCAGATTAAAAACTTATTTCTGAAAGTGAATGTCATTAGATTTAATAGTGAATCAATACATCTTGATTTGCATCGTCCACAGCATTTACTTTTGTGAAAATAATAATTTTTCCCTGAGTGGATGTAACAAACTCAGAACCAGTGCATGTGTAGAAGAAGCTGTCGATCCTGCTCCTTCTCCTGTCCTGCAGGAGGCGCTTCGACTTTCTTCCCGCCATCTTTATCGTCTGTCTCCCAAAGGTCAGCTCTTGTTCTTTGCTGACTTTTCTCCGGTATGTCTGTCTCCTCTTGTTAATTTCAACACTCAATATTTTCAGTACAACACTGGGATTGTTCAATTTCCACAGCTTAACAACAACTGAATTGGAGTTGGTGTAGGAAAGCAAGAGATCAGCCAAAATCTCTTTGATTGGTGCATCAGCTGCAAAGGGCTGAATGGGCTCCTGCTGCTCCTAATTCTTATCTATTTATTTCCATTTGTGTCTCTGTGTAACACTTCTTGCCCTTGTTCTGCTGCTCCATAACGTTATTGATTCTTCCTTTTCACTGACCTCAGGTTATCCAACAGCCATCTCGTCTCTTTGACCCCGAATTATTTGGCATCCGACAACTGCTGCCAATGTTCTTCTGATTCTCCAACTTTCTGTTCCCACTTGCCAATTGATAACATCCTTTGGCAGTTATTTACTCCACCAGGCTAATATTTTTGTGATCATCCACTCTCAGTTGCTTTGAGTTGCAGTTGGTTCAATTATTTATGTAAAGATAGCTTCCAGTGGGTTCCTGAGCTTCTCTCTGAACTTGGAAAGGGAAGCCACATAGACAATGGTATTCGTACAGCAATTCAAATTCCGCAGCATATATGCAACTTGTTTAAATATATATTCACCATTACTGCCTAAAGGATCATCAACATCAAAATAATACAAAATATACCATAGCCACAGGAAAACGAAACAGCCAGATATGGCAAAGAGTAAAATCACACACTGCCTTCTACTCTCCATCTCTGGGTCACTGGAATTCTCTCCCTTACTTTGACCCTTCAAACTTTTACGGACTCGACTGGCCACTAAAATATGTCTGACTGTCAGGGCGTTGAGGAACAGAATTAAACCAAATGGGAATATGGGTGTTAGAATCTTTTCAAAGTTTTTAAACCCTTCCCAGACAGGGTCATAATAATATGCATCTGAATTACAACAGTACCATGGTATATTGTCAACGATCACATCAGGTTCAAATCTAAAGTAGATGGGAATGTTTTTTAAACAGAGCAGACTGCTGGTTGTTGCAAGAACCACAGTTGCAGTTTTTTCAGTGCAGTATTTGGCTTTCAGTTTCTCACAACAAATGGTGACATATCGATCAAAGGTGAACATGACGGTGAACCACACAGAGCAGTCTATGGCTAGACGGCGCAGGGCATAGTGAACACTACACACAGGGGTAATGTCCAAGAATGATAGTGGGAAAAAATCATGTTCGATTCGGCTGAGTATGATTTCAATGATAACGACCAATAGATCCAACACTGCCATGGCCAGAAGGTAGCGAGAACTGCAGGCTGAGAGTCCACATTTTCCTCGAAACAGGATCACAACAATCACTAAATTGACTGAAAGAGAGCGAAAGAAGTGAAAAAGAAATGAAAAACATTCTCCATCACTGAGGCTAGGTGCTCCGGATTAAACTTTATCAATACAAATGTGTGAAAGGAACTAGTTAGAGGAACAATAATCAAAAACAACACACAACAGAATCTCTCATAGTGTGGAGCTTGAAGGACACAGCAGGTCAGGCAAACTCGGAGGAACAGGAAAGTCGATATTTTGGATTGAGACCCCTCCCAAACTTCAAATTTGACTTTCCCCAGCATCTTACTTTGAAATCTTGAAGCAAACTGCTGATCATTTGAGATACATTCCTTCACCGTGTGTGCCCAAAATTACCTTGTCGCTTGTCTCGAACTTTTCCACAACCTTCTGTTTCTGTCTTTCTTCAAATCAAATGTAAGACATCCCTGCCACCACCATCCTGCCCCAGCTGACCATGCAGTTTAGCCTTAAACAGCACCTCTGCTGGTAAGGACATCTTCACCCTGTTAAAATTGTATCTGTCTAAATGTACCTGGCTCTCTCAATCTCTTAAATGCTCAATTGACCTACTTGCTGTTTTTCAATCTGTACGATTTCTTGGAAATGGTTCTTTTTCAAAGCTCCTCTTCCAAATGACTTTCTGACCCTTTAAGAATTGAAACATAAAATTCAATTTTTATTCAGTTAAATCAGTGTATAATTCCATATATTCCTTGACATAATAGCCATCAGAAATTCTGTTCTCTTCGTGGAGCAGTCATACACTGAGTGTAATAACAAAAGTGGGGAGAGCTTGAAACAGTGGAAGCAGCTCAATGAAACTATAGAGATGTCCGGGATATTTAACCTATTATGCTGTTGCAGGTAACATTATTGCTCACTGGGTAACAGCAGAAACTGAGTCAGACACTGATTTAAACAGCCTCAGTAGTTGTACACACTCACCAGGAAAGCCAATGATGCCTAGAACCAGGTAGAATATTTTCCTCACCGTTCGAATCAGACTGCGCATTTTCAGTTTGCTGTGAGTTGTTCCTTGCTTCTGTAGACAATCCCCCTCACTTTGATTCTGTGATGTCCAATTGGCAGGGCCTTAATTTTATGTTCATCAATATCTCTGCTGGGATATTCGTATTACACAATATTCGAAAGTGTTTTTCTTGAAAAGTTGGAACAAACAGATGACGACAGCTGAATGAAATCTCTGATGCTGAAAGATGTTCACCATGGGGAATGGATTGTATGAACAGTCACTTCCTCACCAAAGAACTTTGCTGACCACATGAAGAAACTAAACAGATCTGGAAGCCGTGTTAATGCAAATGGTCCTTCAAATGCTTCTGGTTTCAACTTGAGATCTCATGTTGATGACCTTCCCTGATGACCATTCAATGATTGATTTCCCATCAACAGACACACATTTCGGCCTGTTTGATGGAGTTCAGGAGTGTCAATTCTCTCTTTAGCTGTGGAGAGCCAGCTGAGTGCTTCACAGAATCAAAGTCAGCAACACAGAATTCGGCCATTTTCTCGGTCTTGTTCAGATCTGTGCCAGACTAGATCAGCCGGTCTCACTCCTTCTCATCTCTCCATCATGACCTCGCCCTGTTCTCTTTACTTTTCTTTTTCATTTCCACCCTATTGTACATAGGTTCGCCGCACTCTCAGGAGCTTCATTTCAGATCCACAACCTGTTCTGTGTGGTTGTGTGGTTTAAGAGATATGTTTGGAGGTTAGTGTTAGGATCAGCCCTAATATTCAATAAAGGATTCAGTTTTAATGAAACTGCAACAGTGTTGCCTGGGGTGCTGTTTGGATGTATCATCAGGTTTAGGCTGGGGTTTGAGTTAGGCATAGTGACATTATGGTCAAATTGAGTATTGGATCTGGTTTAGAATTGTGTCAATGTTTGATTAACAGTTGAGTTAATGAAAGGATCAGGTTTATGTGAGCATTAATCTTACATATGGGGCAATCATGGGATTTGCTGTCTTCAAGGTCAGATGGCTGGAGTTATGGTTAATAGAAACTATTACACCGTGGATCCCACCACGGCAGGTGGTGGAATTTGAGCATACAACATAGAATCCCGACAGTGTGCAAACAGGCTGTTCGGCCCAACTAACCCTCAGAGCATCCCACCCAGACCCATCTTCTTATAACCCCTGACCTAGACATCCCTGAACACTACGGGCAATTTATTATGGCCAATCCACCTCGCCTGCACATCTTTGGATTGTGGGAGGAAACCGGAGCACCCGGAGGAAACCCACGCAGACATGGGGAGAATGTACAAACTCCACACAGACAGTCGCCGGGGGGTAGAATTGAACCCGGGTCCCGGACATTGTGAGACACCAGTGCTACCCACTGAGCCACGGTGCCACCCCAAATTGAATTTAATAATTGTCTGGAATAAAGTATCTAATGATGACTATGAATCCATTGTCGACTGTCGGGAAAAACCCACCTGGTTCCCTAATGTCCTTTAGGGATGGAAAGTGCCATCCTTACCTGGTCTGGCTTACATGTGACTCCAGACCCAGAGCACTGTGGTTAACTCTTAACTGCCCTCTGGGCAATTAAGGATGGGCAATAAATGCTGTGTATCTAGCGATGCCCTCATCCCATGAATGAAAAAAGATAAAAGTAAGTCCTGCACCCATTCGTACAGAAGAAAGACAGTTAAGCCAACACAGTTAAGGGATGGGATTAATTAAAAAAAACTGGCCTGATTACCTTATGGAGTTATATAGTCAAACAGCATGGAAACAGACACTTCGCTCCACCTAGTCCACGTCGGCCATGTTCCCAACCTAAACGCGTCCCACTTGCCTGCATTTGGCCCATATCTCACCAAACATTTCCTGTTTATATACTTATCCAAATGTCTTTTATATATTGCAACTGTACTCCCATCCAGCACTTCCTCTGGCAGTTCCTTCAACTCTGTGTTAAACATTTGCCCCTCATATCCTTTTTAAATCTTTCCCCTCTCACCCTAAAAATATGACGCCTAGTTTTGAACTCCACCATCGTAGGGAAAAAGACCCTTGCTAGCCACCTTTTCTATGTCCCACATGATATTATAAACCTATATACAGTCACGTATCAACCTCCTACTCTCCATTGAAAAAAAGTCAGCATATCCTGCCCATGTTTTATCATTCAAAGACTCCATTCCCAGCAAAATCCTGGTAAAATTTTCTGAATCCTTCCCAATTTAATAATATCCTTCCGAAAGCAGGGCGACCGGAACTGCACACAGAAGAAGCCTCACCAACGTCTTGGACAAACTCTACATGACGTCTTAATTCCTGTACTCAATGGTCTGAGTAATGAAGGCAAGCATGCTGTACCACCAATTTTACTGTCATCTGCAAACATATTAACGATACCTTCTATATTCCCATCCTAATTCAATGTTTTCGAGAAGATTTGTAGCTCGGGTTGTGGATTGGATTGTAGACATGCAATGGGTTTGGTTGCAAATGTTTCCTCACCCTGCTAGGTAACATCATCAGTACACCTTCGGTGAAGCGACGGTGTTCTGTCCTGCTTGTTATTTATATGCTTCAGTTTGCTGGGGTGGTTGATATTACTTCTGGTTTTATTTCTTCTGGCTTGCATACAGGGTCTAATTCAATGTGTTTGATGTGTTATTGATGTGTTGTCCCAGTTAAATTTGTGTCCCTCAGTGTCTGTGTGTAGTAAGATAAGTGAGAATTGGTCGTGTCACTTGTGGCAAGTTGATGTTCATTTACCTGTATAATCAATTTTCTTCCGGTTTGGCCTATGTAGTGTTTCTCACAGTCCTTGCATGGTATTTTGTATATTACCCCAGTTTTACTGGCCTTGGGAATGGGATCCTTTACGTTCATCAGTTGCTGTTGTTGGTGGTTGTTGGTTTGTCGGCTACCCTGATACCTAGGGGTCTGAGTAATCTTGTGGCATCTCTGATATCTCCTTGATGTACGGTAGGGTGATAAGTGATTTTGGTCGTTTTCTGGCTTCCTGTTGTGATCTGTCTCGGATTGTGCTTTTCAGGAATTTTTTCTTTTGAAGACTCCATGTCGGTGCTCCTGTTCTGCTTTGCGTAGTTGCGGGTTGCTGCAATGTGTTGTGGCTCGTTTGAATAGTGTCCTGATGCGGCTCCGTTTGTGGGCATTGGGGTGGTTGCTAGTGTTATTAAGTATCTGATCCGTATTTGTGGTCTTTCTATGTATGTTAATCTGGAGTTCACCATTGTTTTTGCATTCTACCATTATGTACAGGAAGGGTAATCGGTTGGTGTTTTCTTCTTCTATCATGAATTATATCCCGGTAAGAATGTTGTTAATACGTCGGTGGGTTTCTTTTCGTTTTGGCATTTAATAGTCACAAAGGTGTTATCTACATATCCGATCCAAAGTTTGGGTTGTATAGTGGGGGAGTGCTGTCTGTTCTAACCTTTGCATTACTGCTTCAGCAATCAGTCCTGATATTGGGGATCCCATTGGTGTTCTGTTGAGTTGTTTGTATATGCTGTCATTGAAGGTGAAGTGGGTTGTGAGGCATAGATCCAGTAGTTTCATGGCGGTGTCCTTATGGACGTTGTTGGTGTAGAGGGAATTCTGCTTACTTGAATCGTCCAGCAGTGTGGCAATTGTTTTTTGGCTACGTCTATGTTTATGGATGTAAATATTGCTGTTAATTCGAAGTATATCATCATCTCGTCCTCTTCTATCCTGGTGTCCTTGATGATGTCGAAGAATTCTTGGGATGAGTGGATAGTGTTGTCCACTAAGTATTTCAATTTCTGTTGTAGTTCTTTGGCAAGTCTATATGTTGGTGTACCTGGCAGTGAGACAGTGGGTCTGAGGGGGTGCCCGGTTTGTGTACCTAGAGTCCATCGAATTGGGGTGTGTTGGATCCCTCTGGCTTCATTTTCGATAGTTTGTCTTGCTGATGTCTCCTGAGTTGGGTAATTTCTTCAGGGTCGTTGTAACCCGGTTTCCTAACCCTATTGCAATCTGTTGGTAGGTGTCAAAATCGGCTAGTTGTGCATTAGCTTTCTCGATGTATTGGGTTCGATTGAGGACTACTGTCATGTGTTCTTTGTCCGCTGGTAAGATTACAATGTTCCTGTCTTTCCTGATTCTTTTCGGGGCTTTCCTCGCTTCGGTGCTCAATGTCTTCCACTTTCCTTTTTTGCTCAGTGGTGGGACGATCGTCTGTCTGATGTTGTGTTGTACTTCTTCCGTGAGTCCGTTGTTCTTTAGTGTCGATTCCAGCACAGCCAGGAAGTCAGTCTTTTTGGTATCTCTGTAATTGCAGTCCAGGTTGCATATTAGGCTGGGCTTGTTAGTATCCAAGATGTTTTTTATGCATGAATCTGTGTTTCCATGTCGTTGATGAGGGTGATTTTGTACAGCTTTTATTGAAGGGCTGTCTTTTCTTTGTTCTGGTATTTTGTTGTTGTGTGCTGATGGCTTGTTCCAGTGTGGAAGTCCATTCCTGGTCGGTTGCGTTGGAGTGCTGAGTGTTTTGGCGCGCAATTTCCCGCTCGTGTTTGTGGAGGTAGTTATGGGCATCGTTGATCATAAACCTTATCTTTCTGTGCGCGTTCTGTTCAGCTGTACCCCTGTGCCTTTGGATTGCTGACTGGTGGTTTATACCTCATGATGGCAACTCCATCAGCAAACACATTGAATTAGACCCTGTGTACTAACCACTGAGAAACACAACCGGAAGTAATCCTAACCACCCAGCAAACCGAGGCATATAAATAACAAGCGGAAGAGACCACTGGTGCTTCACCAGAGGCGCACTGACGATGTTACCTAGCAGGGCGACGAAACGTTTGGAACCAAACCCACCAGCTTGGCAAGCAAGTTTACAACCTCATCCCATCCTAAATGTTTATAGACCTGACAAACACATGTAGCTTCCAGTCTGAAAAACAACCCTCCACCACCACACTCTGTTGCCTACCATCAGGCCAGTTTTGTATTCAATTGCCAAGCTCACTCT